TGCCTCTCTGGTTCTTTTCCGGTCTTTGGTGAGGGGAGGTGGGGATTGAGTCGGCTTGGGGGTGATGGGGTCATGTGTTCAGATGGCAGGAGTCGACTCTGGGCTCCAAGCTGCCATAGACATCCCGTAGCTTGCAGCCCCCTGATCTGGGAAAAGAACACTTGATGCCATCAAAGGGACGCAGATTGAATCCAGATGTGCCTCTCTCGTTCTTTCCATGTATTTAATGAAGGCACAGGGATAGAGTAGACTTTTTCATCATTAGTTTTCCCCCCAGATTCTCTTTTCCTGCCTACAAGTCTATTCCGGTGCCAGCTAGGGCAGAGAGAAAAAAAAGGCCTCCCCATGTCTCAGACTCACAGTCTTCTCCTCCAGGGGCCCTATTCTTTGTTCAGAGCTCGATGTGAAAGTGGCCTGTTTGCTCCGACTGCTACAGTTTGTCTGCGGCGAATGGAAAAGTCCAAACATCTCTGAAAGGAAGACGCCATCCTGCAGAGCTGCCGTTGGCAGGAAGAGTCTGCGAAAGAGGCTTAAATGGGCTTTGGCGCAAAACAACAACAACAATCTGGATCCAGATGAATACGTTTGTGCTCCGGTTCATTTACAACGTTTTTTATTTCTTTGAATTGCTTTTAGAAGTCCTTCTGTGTTGATTTTATTTGACCAAATAGAATCAGGAGGAACAGCTTTCATAGCAAACAGCTAATAGGTCATTAAAATATTTGCTACAACCAATTGAGCTTCATTTAATTGGATATCTACCCATCATTTATTAACAACTAACAAGTGTATTTATAGAGCACATTTAAAAACAGCAAGTGTTCATCAAAATGTTATACAGAGAGACTACAAGCACATAAATACACAAACTTAATAAAGTGTAATAATCAGTAATAGCATGAGATTTAATAATGGGCCGATAACAACAGCAGAGCACATTAAACACAGCGTGCATATTTAAAGGTAATTTCAGAGGTTAACGGTTAAGTGTGAGCCATCATGGTTCTTCTCAGTCATCCTCAACAACTGCTGAACACTTTAACTAAATTATCAAGTCAATTCAGATCAACAGCCCAACACCACAGGTTTGTATCAGAGGCATTAGAGACCCTGAATATGAATTAGGAAATAATCTGTGGGGAGCGTCCTGATGCACCAGTGGTTTAAGATGCATACCACGTAATCATAATGTCCCGAGTTTGAATCTGGCCTACAACACCTGTGTGCCTCTTCATCATAGTGATCTGATTAAAGGCTAAAGTGGCAAAAAAGACAAGCTTTTAATCTCGAATCCATCTAATAGATCCTCCACAAGTCTTAATAAACAATCAGCGCCTCATGATTCATTCTGTTTAAAATCTTCTGTGTAAAACTTGCAGCTTGTTGAATCTCTTGCATTCTTAAAAGGAACTAAAATACAGTACATTTAAGTGGTACTTTACTACAGTATCTGCATTTCATGATACTTCATACTTCAGCCACATTTCAGACATAGGAATTGTGTTGTACTTTTCATAGCAGCTGCAGTTATTTTTCAGATCAATATTTTATACATTAAATGAATCACAAGATAAAATGTGAATTCTTATAGATTAAATTACCCAACAGAAAAAAATAGCTCCGTCTTAACAACATAAAATGTTGCTTACAAATTAATTGATCAGTTATATTCCATCTGTGATAAATATAATAAACACTCTGAATGAATGTGCCTTTTTTGCTGAATTAGTAACTTTACTTTCTTTATTTTATGTACGGGGTTTGCTATACGTACATGTTTTTACTCACGTAAGATTTTGAATTTACCTGTAACTGAGTATTATACATTCAGTGCTGGGATGTTGTGACTTTCAGTAGTAAGTAAATAAATCTCTTCCACTACTACTAATTTGGTTCTCTCCTCATTATCAACAGAGAGCCTTCAAAATGTCACAGTGTATATTTACACCTGTCTGCATCATTTAAGTCTT